TTTCTTCAGGATGCGCTTTAGGTCGTCGGAGCCCGTGCTGGGGTTTAGAACACCTGGGGGGACTCGGGTGCACGTGGGGGACAGGGGTGCAGGAGCCGCGTGGTCCGGCCTGGCCCTCGCTGGCTGGCCGCGATTTGCACTCGCAGCGTCTCTAGCTGGCCTTTGGCCGGGGCTGCTGCTGGGCGCTGCCGGAGGAGCGCGGTGTCTGTGTCGAGGCTGCTTTCTGTTGCTGCTGGCGTGGGTTTCTGTCTGGCCCCTGCACCAGCCTCCGTGAGGGCCTGAACGGTCTCCGGGGGTCGCGCTCCTCTGCCGTGAGCCTGTCGTGCCCCTCAGGCCTGTCGTTTCTCGTTCCTGCCCCGTGGCCACCAGCACCCCTGCCCGGGGAAGGAGGGTGGGGGCGCCTGAGTCCTCCCGGCCCGGGGAGCGGCGCCGCGGCTGAGAGGTGCCGGCACCCCTCCCGGGGTGCCATTTCTGGCCCCCCTCTTTGCTCTCTTGGGTTGCTCCGGCAGCCGCAGCCCTGCTGAGCCGGGAGGATGGCCGAGGCGCGGAAACAGGGCCTCCTGATCCGCCACTTTTCTCTGTGGTCACTTAATAGGATTTTAAACGGAATGTTCTCTGAAGGATTTATAGTTTCCCTCTTTGGAAGGTTTATGGTTTATTCTGTGAAATTGGGTCTGTTACAGTTTCCAGGGGCAGCCGAGGGAGGGAAGAACCAGAAGGTAATCCTAGACTCAGCGTTTGCAGGAGGAAGCCTCAGCCGCGCTCGAGCTCGTGGGGCAGGGACTGTGGGCACAGGACCGTGGGGCAGGGACTGTGGGGCAGGGGCCGTGGGCACAGGGACTGTGGGGCAGGGGCCGTGGGCAGGGACCGTGCATAAGGGCTGTGGGGTAGGGGCTGTGGGCAGGGACGGTGGCAGGGGCCGTGGGCAGGACTCTGTGGGGCAGGGGCCGTGGGCAGGGGCTCTGTGGGCAGGGGCTGTGGGCAGGGGCCGTGGGGAGGGCTCTGTGGGCAGGGATCGTGGGAGCAGCACCATCCCCTGGGTGTGTGGCAGAAGTGAAAGTGAGGCCTGACCCTGGGCGTGGAGCCGGTGCCGGCTTGTGCTCCCAGGGTGTGAGGGAGGCGGGCCGCCGGGGTCTCAGCACCGCTCGCCCTCTCCTTGCGGGCTCCTAGTTCAGGGCGCGGGGTGGGACGTGCAGGGCAGGGCGCAGTCGGGACGTCACGGCGTGCGGGCGGGTGTGACGGCTGCGGAGCTTTCGTGGGGCTCTGGGGGTCGCGCCAAGTGCTCTGGGCGGCCTGAGGCGAGGCCGTGCCTTGACGCCGCCAGCCCTCCTGGGAGCAGCCCTCACTGGTTCCCGCGTGTCGCATGGCGTTTGCGGCCCTGGATGGAAGGGGAGGCCTGGATCTCCTTTCCCCGACGTGCTGACTGGCTGCCCCGTCCGTTTAGCCAGTGACCGTTGCCCTGGGTGGCCCAGAGCCCTCTGCCTAGAGAGATGCTAGGGGGCAGGGGCAGCTCCGGGGTCCTGGGGCCTGTGCCCCGGTCTGCACGGCCACCTCGTGGCTGTCTCTGAGGGGCCTGCTCCTTGCGGCTGCTGTCGGCCCGGAAGGCGGCCGGCGCTCTGGGGCTGTGTCCGGTGCTCCTCCCGGCTCTGTGCTGACCCCTCCTCTGTGGCTTGGTCATTGCATTGCATTGGGGAGACGTGAAGCCTCCTTTCTGCAGCATCTTCGGTGCCCCCGGGGCTCGGGAGCCCATGGCCTGGGCACCGAGCGCTGTGCTTGATCTCCCCCGCTCGCGTCCTGCCGTCCGAGGGACGCTGGGAACCATGGCCCTGTCCAGTCTGGGTGCCCGGCTGGCCGGAGCGGCTGGCACCAGTGGGTAGGGCTGGGCATGTCCCGGGTGCTCCTGAGGCCCGTCCGCCCCTGCGGCGCCCGGGCCTGCCCCGTCCTCCCCATGCCCACGATCAGAGGTGGAGCTCGCTCAAGGTCTCCGTCCTGGGAACATGGCAGCGGCCTGAGGTTCCCCGTGGTGCACAACGCCTGGGTCCACGCAGCGGCCAGGGCGCAGCGCTGCCGAGGGGTTCCGTACCGTTGACTTGGGGGTCCGCGGCCCTCCTGAGCAGAGAGGGCACCCGTCGCACACCCCTCCTAGGCGCAGGCGCGTCCTCCCAGTGGACGGCAGCCCGGGCCCGGGCCTCAGCCCTGTGAGTTCCAGCGGGGTGGGTGGGCAGGGCTGGGCCAAGGGAGGGCAGCTGGCGCCCTGCAGGCTGCGACCGCTGACGGCCGGGCTCCTGTGGCAGGGGCTGTGCGGCGCTGCCGGTGCTGGGAGCGAGCGCCCCCACGGGGGGTACCCACCTTCCCAGACGGAAGAGCGGCCCTCGCGGGCAGGGTGTCCGGGACTTTGTGCTGGCCCGGCCTCCCCCTCTCTGCCACCCGCTCGCACTCAGGAGTGCGCGGCGTGTTCCCTCCGTCTCCACGTGTTTTTGCCCCCGACTCTGTAGCTTGGGGGCTCCGATTCTTCCTCTGTCCTCTCACCGCCAGGCTGTCGCCGCCTTCGGTCTCGGTCCAGTCCCACACTTCCTGGGCTTTTAATTCAGCAGTCATTCGTCACGTCTTGTTGCAAGTGGCGGTCATGTTTTTACTAGCGGCATCGATCGTTGACTTGCCCTGGCTATTAAATCGTAGTTTGGGGTCGTCCGCTCCGACTTTGCTTCTCCACACGCTGGTGTCTCGGCGCTCGGCTCTGAGCGTGAGGCTCTCAGAGACACACACCTCGCCGGGCTGAGGGGTCTGTGTGTGCCGCGCCTGGCTGCGCCGCCGGGGGAGCTGCTGGACACGGCGTGGCGCGGGGCTGTCCACGCCACCTATTGGCCCAGCTCAGGTTTGGACGAAGGCTCTTCTTACCTGAGGGTAAATAACAGAAGTCACCCCAGGGCCCTCAAAGAGGCCAGTATGAGGGAGAAGGGAGATACCCCGAAATCAGAAGACAAGTGGACCTCTGGGGCGGGTCTGCTGTTGACCGGAGAAAAAAATTCTCAGACGCCTTGGGCTGGCGGAAGACCTGGCGGCACAGAAAGTCACGGGGGACCAGCCAGCTGAGGGGAGCAGAGGGCGGTCTGGGGGAGTCTGCGGGAGCAGCGCCAAGGGTAAAGCTGACCCGGGAGCTAGTGGCTGGCGCCCACAGTGCAGAGCCACCCCCACCATGCCCACGCTGGCCGAGCCAGCCCCACACAGGCCAGTCTGGCCCCCACTCCCGAGGGCGCGAGATGCGGCTGAAGAATGACCGGGAAGCGGAGCTATGTGTGCCGGTGGGTTCACGTTTGGGGCAAGTGGAGGAGAGCCCCGGTGGATGTCGGGGGCGGGAAGGCCCCGCAGAATCCTGACGTGACAGTGAGAGAGGGTGTCATCAAAACTCAGAGGCCCCCAGGCCCGGGGACTCGAAGGGCTTCTGCACCCAGCCGCGGGGGTCGGGGGCAGAGCATGGCGGTGCCAGGAGCACCCCGCCGCGGAGGAAGCGCTGCTGCTGTCCACTGAGAGAGCATCCTGAATCTGCAAGAAGCGAGCCACACGCTTCCTAAGGGAATAACAGGCAGAGCAGTTGTTCCAGGGCAGGGGAGGGCACCCCGAGCCCCAGACCTGCCCGCTCTAAATGGGTTCTGCGTCTGCTGCGTCCAGGCGAGACAGCCCCTGGCGTAAGACCTGTCATGGGGAGGGACCTGAGTGCAGTTAGTGTACATCAAGACCAGAGAAGAAGGAGAATATAGTTTCCAAATCCAGCGCCCCAAGTCCTCGGTCCCCTCGTGGCTAAATAAATGTCCAGTCAAACAGGGCTGGCCCACAGCAGGGCCGCTGAGGCCCGAGGCCTGCCCACATCGAGTTCACCTCCTGGTGGGGCCCACAGAAAGGGCGGCCCGGCCCGGCCCAGCACGTCTGGGACAGATGGAGCAAAGTCAAAATTGAAGTCAAGGTAAAGGCCGCCACTGTCAGCCTCCCCCGCCGCTACCCGCGGCTCCGCCTCCGTCGGGGTCTCCCTCCGTGCCCCGGCGCCTGGTGCGAGTCCCAGGCCGACACAGGGCTCGGCTTCTTCACTTACCCCTGCTCCGGCCTCCTCCTGCCTCCCCTCCCTTCGCTCCTGCTTCCTCGGGCGGGGCAGGGGTGGGCCCCCTCTCATGGGGACCACAGCGCCTAGCGCCGGAATCCGAGCTGCAGATCATGTGACTGGAAACCACCTAAGTGCCCGCCTCAGGGATCACCTGTCCCCTGGGCTGCGGGCCTGGGGAGGCGCAGGGGAGGGGCGGGGGGGGGGTGCCCAGTCACCGGGACTGGCTCGGGCTGCGAGGCCGCAGGGCGCCTTCTCCGTTCATTTGAGTCTGAAAGTGACACGTGCGGGCGCGGGGCGTGTCTGGGACGGCCCCTGGAGGGGCCCGAGGCGCCCGTGGGCCAGCCGGCCCAGGGCTGGTGGGTGAAGCGCTGGGGTTACGCTCAAAGCCGGGGACCTTGGGAAGCGCCTGTTGTGGGGTCAGCGGGCAGGGGCTTGCCGTGGGCTGGATGCGCCGGGGTGGACAGGGGCGCAAGACGCCAGCCTGGACACCCGCCGGGAGCGGCCACTCTCTGCGACGGCCTCACGGACTTTTCCCCAGAGAGTGAAACAGCCCGAGGGCTGGCGCCTGGGGATTGGGCGCTGGGTCCGGGATGGGAGGCGAGGAGGGGGCCGGGGTCCCGTGCCGCGCCGGGGCTTCCTTGCACGCCTCTCCTGCCAGGACAAGTCAGCTGGGAAGGCCTCGTGTGTGCCCGAGCCCCGCGCAGGGCACCTGCCCCGCGTCCCCGCCCGTCCTGCTCGCGGGGTCTCCGTGGGCCCCTCTGGCGGTCAGAGCCCCAGCGCTGCCCTTAACCGGTCTCTCTCTCTGCCCCGCAGGCCCCCACCCCGGAGCCCGGTGAAGCCGCTGCGCTGGGCCTGCGCGGACCTGGCCGGCGCCTGCCTGTGGCCGTGGCTGCCTCGTGCATCGGGGACTTTGGAGTCTCTGGAGCTTTCGTTTATGTGGAAATTTTGAGCCATTTTGAGTCTCTTCGAGGCGTGGACGCTGCTAGCAATGAGCTCCCCAAGCCGCCCAGGTGAGGAGGGGGCGGGGCCGGGGGAGCCCACGGAGGCTGGGGGCCAGCCTGGGGCTGTGACCCACTCGCCATCCTGAGTGGCCGACGTCTCCTCTGATGCCAGGAGGGTGGAGCTGGGCTGAGCGAGGGGCCAGGGTCATGGGCCTGGAGAGGTGCCTTCGTACCCGGCCCGTGGCCAGGGTGGGTGGGGGTGGCCTCTGGGGCGGGGCCACTGGGCTCAGCTCATCCCATGGGCTCCAGGGAGCTAGTCGGCGGCCAGCCAGGCCGGAAGCCACGTGTCTGGTCTTGGCCTGAGCCGTGGACACGCTCAGGGTGCTCTCCTGGCAGTCACTGAGCGTGGTTGTGACGAGCCTGATGTCCTGCCTGTCCTGCCAGAGGGCCTGGCCCCGAGGGGAGGCCGTGGCCTGCCAGGACAGGTGTGTGGCGGCCCCAGGCACCTGGCGGCTGTGAGGCTTGGCGGAGTGGAGGCCGAGCTCAGGGTCCAGCCTCTCCCTCTGGGTTCACCCAGAGCCTCGGGCCCCAGCCAGGGCCATGTGCAGCTTCTGGTCCTGCCTGAAGGGCCTGTTGACTTGACTGTTCTTGTGCAGCAAATGGGAACACGTGTGGGCCTGAGCTGCACCCAGGGCCCCTCGCCTGGCGCCGGGCCGGGGGTCCTGCGTCCCGGGGCTGAGGTCAGGGGCGTCTGTGGAAACCTTGCGTCTGGCATAGTGGCGTACGTGGGATCTGCCTGCCTGTTTTCTCCCATTTTCACGTGTCATGAGCCTCTCTGGGTGTGTCCGAGACGGGCTCGCCTGCTGACACGCGTGGACGGGCTCTCTGCAGCATCCCACAGAGCGGTCATTTGCTGGCCGCCCGCCCTGTGCCCGCGTCTGTGAGTGTTCCGTGGGGCAGTCCTGGGAGGTGGGACCCTGGTGAGTGGCGTGTGCAGGGGACACGTGAGGCTCCTGTCTGGGCCCTCCCGGGGGCTGGTGGCCACTGTGAGGCCGCGGCTCTGGTGCTGGCAGGCGCTCCTCGGGCTTCCTGCGTGCCGCTTGCTGTTTCTGTCGCGTGAGAGACTCGGCCTCTGGACATGGCGCGTGGGCCTCTGGGCGTGCACGCTCGCCTGCCCCGGGAGTGCCGGCACATGCTCCCGCTTCCTCCGTCCCACCCCTCGCCTCGCCTGCTCGCCTCCGGGTCTGCAGTTAGGCCGTGTGTGTCGTGCCCCCTGGGCGTTAGCGGCTGTGGCTCGCGCTGACCCAGGTCTCAGCAGAATGGGACGGTCTCTCCGGCTTTTCTCTGCCCTGAAGTGCGTTCCGTCCCCCAGACGTCCGGGCCGGGCCCTCTGGCTGACTGACCTCCCTCGCCGTGCCCGGGGCCCTGCGGTTCACCCCTTGAGGGCCGGCTCAGAGCGGCTGGGTTTGCCTCTTCTCCTGCGCTGCCTCCGCCAGGTGTGTGTGCGCGCCAGGAGGCTGTGACCGTGGCCAAGCTGGCTGAGCGGCTCCTGCGCCCTCTGTGTGGGCGTCGGCCGTGCGGCTGTGCTTGGGGCCTGGAGCTGGCTGGGCGTCCCCTTTTCTCTCCGGTGCTCAGGTCTCAGGGGTCACCCTGCCTCCCAGAGCAGCCTCCCTGAGCCGTAGCAGGGGCCTCCAAATAGTGCCTGCCCCTGCCTGGAGCAGCGTAAGGCCCGCAGGACCCACGCCGCCTTCTTGGGGCCTTGGCTGTGGCTCGGGCTGCCTGTGGATTGCGCCCCCTCCTCGGGGTGATGGGACAGCCCCCTCCCCCACCGATTGTCCGATCTGCTGGGCCCCATCAGAAGTGAGTTTTCTAGGAATTCCTCCAAGTTTCTTGTCAGGGTGCCCTGCCCCCGCCCTCCTGACCCGCGGCGTGTCTGTCAGGGCTGGGTCTGGGAGGACAGAGGCCTGCACTGCGAAGGGGGCTGCCGGCCGGGCCACCTTCTTCCCCGGGAGGCCAGTCCCTTCTCGGCAGCCCCAGTGTGGCTGCACTGGGGCCCCTCACCCTGGAGCCCTAGCCCCCCCACTAAATGCCTCTTTGGGGGGCCCCCCCGCCGCTCAGCTGTACCCCCTGGTGTTGGGCGTGGTGTGCCTCCTGGCTTTATGGCTGTTCTTTCTGGACTTTGCCGGAGCCAGGCCCAGGCCCTCTGACGTAAAAGCTGCTAACTGTCGGGGTTTTATTGCTCCGATGACTGCTTCCAACGACGCGAGCGGCCCGAGGAAGGCCTGGATTCATTTAGCCGGAGAGAACTCTCCCTTGATAGTACGAAAAACGAAAGAAGCTTCTGAAGGAGTCCCGTTGCCTCCGCCTTCCCCGGGGCTGGGCCGAGACAGGTCAGGAGGCTGCGGGAGGACACGGCCTCTGCTGGGTGGGCGCCTCCTGGCCAAGCCGGAGGGTCAGGCCCAGCGGGGCCTGTGCCCGTGCATGCGTCTGCCTGTGGGTGCTGTGCCTCAAGGACGCTGGCCACTTGGCGTTCCTCAGCAGGGTTTTGACGCCCCGCCCCTCAGGGCTGTTGGCCGTCCTGCTGGGGCATTTTTGCCTCGCGAAAGCCCCGAGCACCCCCACCAGCGCCCCAGGATGGTTCCCGGGACCTGCCTGTGGTCAGAGGAGCCATGCCCTTGGCAGAAGACCGGCGGGGCGGGCGTGGCATCGACCTCTCATGTGTCCCGTGTGCCCACATCTCAGCGCAGGTGTGTGTGGTGTGTGTAGACACAGTGATGATCTGAGGGGACTCGTGTTTTAGGACCGGTGTGTAGTTCTGGCTTCTCAGTGGCCTGTTCGCCTGAGCTGCCCGTCTGCAGAAAGGGGCTGAGGAGTCTCCGCCAGCACCTGGCAGCGGGGCGCTGCTCCTGCTTAGCTCCCAGTGTGCCCTGGTCAGGGGCGCTCCAGGGCCTGGGCCGGGCTCCGGCCCTCCGTCTCCTTCCTCAGCTCGTGGCCTGGTTCCCTCCGCTCAGGCTGCCCGGGCCTGCCCGCCATGGGGCGGCCTCAGGGAGGCGCGCCCTGTGCCTGTAGAGCTGTGCTCTGCAGGGACCGGCAGTTCTAGGAATGTGGCAGGGTTTTAGTGGAGGAGGTGGGGGGAGGCCCCGCTGCAGCACGGAGAAGCCGTCTCTTCAGAGCAGCTGTGCGGGTGGCTTGTGGGCCCTGAGCCGCAAGAGGCGCCTGGAATGCTGGGAGCCAAGAGTGGCCTTGACTGAGGCCCAGGCCCGGCTTTCCAGGAGAGATGGCGGCCGACAGCCTCCGGAGCCCAAGCTATGGCCAGGAGACAGGCCCGTGTCCACGCCCGCCGGAGACGGGGCGGCCATGACATTGGACATGAGCATCCTGTGACCTTTCTTCGGGCCTGAGAGAGGCCTGGGGCAGGCTGGTCCCTGAAGCAGGGAGTGGACCACCTGCAGACCACAGGCGGGGGTGGGGGGGGCACCCAGGACTGGAGGACGGAGGCCCTGGGGCTGCTCTGTGTATGCTGAACCCTATATCCCAGGGCGAGGCCTCCCGCTTCTGCACCTGCCCAGCCTCTCGCCCGGCACCGGCCTGTCTTCCCCAGGCCCTTGTTATCCAGGATCTTAATCAGTCAGGGTTTGTTCTGGAAAATCACAGAGACATACAACTTCTTTTCAACCTACTTAAAAAAAAAATCCTCAAATTGTGTTTTGTCTTTTAGAAATCAGGACGCCTCATGTGAAGAGCTCTGGAAACTGTCAATGGGGCGTTGATGGTTTGTTTTGGGGATTCTCTGAAGAATTTTACAGTTTGTGGAGCATTTACATTTAGGTTGTGTTTTTCAAAGCCGCCATTGTAGAAATGCAAATTTCTGAGTGCTGAGATGCTGAATGCTGGATGATTAATGGCTCTGAGATTGGGGAGTGAGTGGGGTCCAGAGAGGGCACAGTCACCCATGGCCTTTGAGGGAGGGGCTGGAGCAGGGCGCGGCGGGTGCAGCGGAGCGCTGGAGCCCGGTGGGCGAGCGTGCAGACCCTGCCCGCTGGCGCTGGCTTCTTCCTGCCCGGCCCTCAGGAGGCCAGAGGCACAGCAGCTGCTCTGAACCCAGCTGCGGGTTACTACTTCGTGCAGGTGACCCTCCGAGGGAGTGGGAAGCGGGAAGCTACGCTTCTGTCTTAGAGGTGAGGGCAGCGGGTTGGCCGCCGCCGAGGCCTTGTCCTCAGGTCAGGCAGCTGATCAGAGCCCAGCCTGGAGTGGACATGGCCAAAGCCCCCTTTCTGGGCACCAGCAGGCACTGCTCCAGCCCCCGCATGGGACTCCCAGGCGCGCCCCCTTGGTCCAGTGTGGTTCAGGTGGTGGGAGCGACGGCAGGGGGTCATGGGCCCCAGAGGGAGGGGGGGTTGGAGGAGTCAGCTGGGGGGGGGGCAGCAGGCTGGCGCTCACCTGCGGGGGTGCAGTAGAGGCAGGACTGGGCCTCAGGCTGGAGCAGGGGGGACGCCCCTGGCTCAGGACCACGTGCTCTTGTCCCCTCTCGGTTCCAAACCACCCTGTGGCCTGGAACGCGTCCTGGCCCCATGTCCCCCATCCCCCGTCTGGGGCGCGTGGCCCTGCAGCACCTGTGCGCTTGGACGAGCCCGAGTGTGTCTGGTCCTCAGCCGAGCTGCTCGCCAGTCCCGGGCAGGGTCCGGAGCCGAGTGGACGCTTGGCCTGCCTGGCTGGTGGGAGAGGTTGAGGGTTTTTACTTTAGTTCCACTCAAGAGCCTTTTATTTGCACACTTCACGGGAACACGGGAAAGAGCAGGCGTGTTTAGGAGGAGGACGGCGATGCTGTCCCTGGGACGGGGTCGAGCACCATTGCACAGGCAGAACCGCGTCTGGTCAGCCCCTCGCCTGCCAGTCTCCCGGACGGGCCGTGGCCTCCCAGGGGCCGGTGTAGAAAGACCCGGATCGGCTTCTTCCTTGCGGCCTCCTGTCCCCTCGTCCCGCAGAGCGAGAGGAGGCAGCACAGCGCCACTGGCCGCGGGCTCAGCGCTGGCCCCCAGCAGCCCCTGCGCTCGCGCCTCTGTGGGACA